CAAGGAAGGACATTGTAGGACGATAAAAGGGTCAAGTGACCAAGAAGACATAACCCTAATAAATATCTATGCACCCAATGAAAAAGCTCCAAAATACATAACACAAACATAACTGAATTGAAAAGAGAAATAGAAAATTCTGTAATAGTACTACCACTTTCAACAAAGGACAGAACTAGAAAAAAAACTCAACAAAGGTAACAGAAGATCTAAACAACAAAATCAATCAATTTGACCTTACAGATATATACAAAACACTCCACCCAACAAAAACATCATACACATTCTTTTGCAGTACACATGATTAATTCTACATAACTCACTGTATATTAGGTCATAAAACAAGGATCAAGAAATTTAAAAACACTGAAATACTACAAAGCATCTTCTCAATCACAATGCTATAAAATTAGAAGTAAATAATATGAACATCAGGGAAAAAAATCAAATACATGGGAGCTGAATAACACACTGCTCAAGAACCACTGGGTAAAAGAAGAAATAAAACACTGCCAGAAACAAACAAGAATGAAAACACAACATACCAAAATCTTTGGGACATAAGCAAGCAGTAGTCAGAGGTCAATTTATAGCAATAAATGCACACATAAAAAAGAAGAACCAAAATCAACACCTTAACCCAGTAATTCCAACAATTAGAAAAAGAGCCACCAAACAAGCCTACAGTCTCCAGAAGGAAGGAAATAATAAAGATTGAAGCAGAAATAATCAAAGCAAAAAACCAGAAAAACAATTTAAAAAATTACAAGACCACAAACTGGTTATTTGAAAAGATTAACAACACTCACACACCACTGGCAAATTTAACTAAGGAAAAGAAATAGAAGAAACAAATCACAAGAAAAATAAATGAAATAGGCAAAATCACAACAGGACCAAATGAAATAAAAAGGATTATAACAAAACACTAAGAACTGTACTCCCAACAAATTTGAAAACCCAGAAGAAATGGACAAATTTCTAGAAATATATGACTCACCTAAAATAACACAGACTGAGGTAGAAAATGTGAACAGACCCATAACAAAGGAAGAAATTGATCAGGTCATCAAAAAAACTCCCCACAAAAAAAAGTCCTGGTTTCACTGCAGAAGTCTATCAAAGGTTCAGAGAAGTGCTGACACCTATCCTACTCAAACTATTACAGAACATTGAAAAGGATGATATACTCTCAAATTCATTCTATGAAGCAAGCATAACCCTGATACCAAAACCAGGCAAAGACACCACAAAAAAGGAAAATGAGAGACCAATAGTTCTTATAAGTATAGAAGCAAAAACCTTCAACAAAATCCCATGCAAGAGAATTAAACACTGTATCAAAAAATAATGCACCATGACTAAGTAGGAGTCATACCAGGTATGTGAGGATGGTTCAACATTTGTAAAACAACCAACGTAATCTATCATATATATTGAAGAAAGGGAAAGAACCATATGATCATAATCATCAATTTAAAAACATTTAGGAATAAATCTTTCCAGTGACACAAAAGACAAAGAAAACTACAAAACACTACTACAAGAAACTAGAAGAGACTTACATAAATGAAGAACATGCCATGTGCATGGATAGGAAGATCAAACATGAAAATGTCAATACTACCCAAAGCAATGTAAATATTCAATGCAATCCTGATCCAAACCCCATCAACATTCTTTAAGTATATGGAAAAACAAATCACTAATTTTATAGGGAAAAGAAAGAGACCTCAGATAAGCAAAGCACTTCAGAAGAAGAAAAACAAAGTAGGTCTCACACTCCCCAATCTCAAAAGCTACTATACAGCCACAGTAGTCAAACAGCCTGGTACTGGGACTGTGATAGACACACAGACCACTGGAACAGAATTGAGAATCCATTCACCTATGGGACAGGTGATCTTCAACAAAAGGCTTTTTCCCCCCATTAAATGGGGAAAAGAGAGCCTCTGTTAACAAATGGTGTTGGCAAAACTGGATATCCATTTGCAGAAAAATGAAACAAGATCCATACCTCACATCATACACACAAAAAAATAAACCCTAGATGGATCAAAGACCTAAATGTAAAACCCCAAACTATAAAGTTCATCAAAGAAAAAATAGGAAAAACTTAGAGCTCTAATTTACACCATAAATAGACTATCAAGCATACCCAAAGATAAACTAGATGATTAGAATCTTCTATAAACTTAAATTATTTATTCACATCAAAACACTTCCCTAAAAGTAAAAAGAGAACCTACAGATTGGGGAAAAAAATTTAGAAATAACCTATTTGACAAGGTACTTAACTCTAAAATTTATAGAAAGCTTCAGCACCTCAACATCAAAAATACAAACACTACCAATTAAAAGATGGGCAAACAACATGAACAGACACTTCACCAAAGAAGGTATCCAGGAAGCCAACAAACACATGAAGAAATGCTCATGATCATTTAGCTCTCTAGATTAAAATCAAAGCAATGAGATATCATCTTACCCTAGCAATTATAGCAAAGTTCAACAAGACAGAAAACAACAAATGCTGGCAAGGGTTGGAGAGATTGGAACTCTCATACACTGCTGGTGGGACTGTAAAATGGTATAACCACTGTGGAAAATGGCATGGTAATTCTTAAAAAGTTGGAAATAGAAATACCATTTAATCTAGCAATCCCATTACTAGGAATATATCCTAAAGAGGTGAGATCTGGGACACGAATAGTTGATATGCACACTCATGTTCACTGCAGCACTATTCACAACAGCAAAGAGAAGGAAACAACCTAAGTGCCCATCAACGGAGGAATGGATAAGTAAACATACACACAACTAAATACTATGCAACACTGAATAATAATGAAGAATCCATGAATCACCTCATAATGTGAATGAGCTCGGAGGACGTTATGCTGTGTGAAATAAGTCAATCACAGAACAAATACTGTATAAGTCTGTTATAAAAAGTCATGGAAAGGCTTACACAGGAAAAGAAAGGCTACCAGGTACGAGGGTAGGGGGAATTGCTGACTAGTTAAGAGACATGTGTTGATTTGGGTGAACAGAGAGGCAATTTAACAAAAGCATGTGACCAGCACAGTATCACTAAGGAAAAAGAAGACATGGAGAAGTGTGCAAAGGGTACACACTATTAATACATAATACTGCATTATCAGTAACAGCAAACACTAATCTATGGATGTATACATAGGTAGACAGGAAAGAAGATCAGGTATGGGTAGGTGAACGGAATACACCCATGATTATACATAGTTTTAGGAGATGATACTCCTATGCACATATTTATATATGCTGTAAAAGTGTCCATATACATTATAAGCTAACAGGGGACAGAGCAAGGATAATTTCTTAGCCACAACCAAGCACCTCAGAGAATGAGTTGCTGGGCCTATGGGCTCAGGACCATGGTCACAGGGGACATCAAATTCAGTTGGCACAATACAATACACCAAAATGAGCTCTGGTGATGCAGTGCCTAAGGCATTTGACTGGTAACCAGAAGGTTGGCAGTTCAAACCCACCAGCCACTCCTTGGAAGGAAGATGGGGCAATCTACTTCCGAAAAGATATACAGTCTAGGAATCCCAGTGGGGGTTGCTACAAGTCAGAACTGACTTGATGGCAGTGAGTGTTTTGGTACTATACCAAAACACTGTTCTACATCCTAGTTTGGTGAGTTACAACTGGGGTCTTAAAAGCTTGTGAACGGTCATCTAAGATGCAAATTGATTTCTCCTCATTTGGAGCAAAGTAGAATGAAGAAAATCAAAATGCATGGAAACAATTAGTACAAAGGACTAATCGACCATGAGAACTTCAGCCCACATGACCCTGAGACCAGAAGAACTAGACGGTACCTAGCTACCAATGCCAACCACTCAGAAAGGGATAATTAGAGATCCTGGATAGAGTGAGAGAAAAAAATGTGGAATGAAAATTCAAATACATAAAAAATACTTGAATTACTGGTTGGACAGAGATTGGTGAAACCTCCAAGACTATGGCCACTAGTGAGCCTTCAGACCTAGCTTGACGGCAAATAACAACAACAACAACAACAACAACCAATAGCTTAATTCTTAGCCAAGCAACAGACAGGGCTACAAGTGGAACAACGACACTAGGGAGATAGACTCTTTAGAACAAATAACCATGAGAGATCGGAATGGCAGCATTTGAACAGGGAGAAAGCTAGGAAGGCAGGAATGCACAGGCAAGAAGAAACTGGGAAAGGGTAACCATGGGGAGGAAGTGGGAAGACAGCTATTACACTGTGGGGATTATAATCAATGTCACTAAAGAGAATATGTATGAACTGCTGAATGTAAAACAAATCTGTTTTGTAAAATTTCACCCAAATTACGATAAAAATTAAAAAAAGAAAAAGAAAAAGATCATAGCCCCCCAAAATACTATGAGGACTTCTATTTTATAACCCATGGAGTTACCATTAGTTGGAATTGACTTGATGGTAATGGATGTGAATTTTTGGTTTTGGTAGAGAAGCTAACGAGTGGATAGAATGTATTCTATTTAATCAGCGACAACAGAATATAAATTAACCCTGAGACCAAAATAACAACAGTAACTTGAATTATTAGATAGGAAGCTTAGGTGGCAATGAGTTTACGTTAATGGGGTAGGAAGGACTCAAAAAAGAAGGGTGAGAATGGTTGTACAACTTGAAGAACATAATCAATGTCACTGAATTGTACATGCAGAAACTGTTGAACTCGCACATGTTCTACTGTGTATATTCTCACTAACAACAAAAATAAATTTGAAAAACAAAACAAAACAAAAAACTGACCCTAAATCAGAAAATGCCAGGCCATTTCACTTCTAGTATTATCTCAATGTTTTCTAGAAAGAAAACTTACCTCTCAGACTCTGTATCTGGATACCAGATAGTACTATTAATCAATTCCCACATTTCTAAAAATGAACACTGAAAAAAGAAGGAACGGATACGAAAATTCAAAAAAACTTACTGCATTGGCACGCTGATCCCAATCATGTTTGTCATCTGACAAAATTTCCCTGATTTTATTTAATGTTTCTTCAAGTTCTCGACTAGAATAGATCTTAAAGAAAAAAATTTAGAATTATAACAATATTTCTTGACATAAATATCAAAATTAAGCCTGATTTTTAAAATAACTGTTCAAGTAATATGTTATTTCCCATTGGAGCATCATTATTATTATTTTGTAGAGAAAGAAAATACATTAAAATATTTTAACTTGTGTTTCTACATTAACTGTTACACTCTTTTGCAATTTTCTTCTTCATAAGTAACTTTAAACACACTCTTAAAATGCGTTGTAATTTCAAAACAATATGCAAATATCCAAATAATAAAGATAGGCCTAATTTCTCAAAATGGCTTTAGGCATATATATATACATATACACACACACACACATATACATACACATATACATACATACACACACATACATACACATACACACACATATACATACATGCATACATATATATACATACATATATTATATATATATATATATATATATATACATACACATATATATATATAAAACACAGCTTATGGCATTCACAGACTTATTACAACATATTTCCAAAAAGATTTTTCCCCCTTCCACTCCAACATTATGATAGGCTGAAGCCATTTGCCAAGTAACCAGCTGCTATTATTCTTTCACCCATTCAACAAATATTCATCTGGCATGAGAGCACTATGATAGGCAACAGGGAAACTAAAGTGGATGGAAACTCTCCAAGTAAGTACTAATATTCCTATTTTAAGATAAGGAAATTAACTTCCCAGGGTTGCAAAGCTAGTGTGGTAGAAGTGGGATTCAAACCCAGGCAACCATGGAAAGTTGTCAAGGTCAGTACATGGCAACAATAAGGAAGCTGTCCACATACTATGAATCTCTCATATAAGTGGCTATTGGAACAATAGTCAGTTAAGCGGCAATGGAGACAGCTAGAACACCAAACCCACTATCAATTACTGAAGGCACATGGGTCAACATCCCCTTTATAAACCTTCAAGAAATAATTAAGTTTTAATTATGGCACTAATGTTGAAGAGACCCTAAAAGGGTGAGGTTATGGAGTGGGGGTCTTGCTATTTATGAAACACATGTTCCAGAGGGCATAATGAAAGATGTAGAACATTTGGAAGGTGAAGGCCTGGGAGGGGTGGTGGAGGGTAGGTTGTAAAGAAGCACTAGATAACTGTGAAACAACTTTATTCCCTCCATAAAAGTTTAGTGGTCCTTGGGTTCTTTGATACCATTATGCTACTGGTCTGGCAACTCACTGAACAATAAAAAATGTTCAAATCCAGCTAAGTTTTACTAGATGCTCTTCCAACACTAATTTTTCCCTTATAAGAAAGGTCTGTAAAATACAAAGGAAAAGGGGTTAGGAGGTATGTTTTTGCTTTTATTTCAAAAAATAAATATGTTCAAAAATAAGAAAAATGGACCAACAAAGGTATAAGAAAATACACTAAAATCAGAAAATTTTCTAAATTTTCAATAACTTTTTAAGATCTAAGTAAAATAAATAGCTTATGGGATATTTTTTCCTTTCAAAGACCTAAAGGTAATACAGACAGCAGAGTGCAAAGATAGTTCGTAGGAGTTTAAATGGATATAAACATCCTACAGAGTAACATCTAATAAAGCTGAAAAGTACAGCCATGCAATTGCACACCTGTATTTAAACCCTAAACTCCTACAAATAATCAAGTATGTAAGTATAATAATATTCATTGCAGTATAGTGTAGAATAGCAACAAGTTAGAAACAATCTAAATGTGTATCCAAACTATGGTTGGTTCATACAACAGAGTACTATCTATCAATCAAAATGAATGAAAAAGAGTAACACATTTTATAATGTGAAAAAGTATGAAAAAACAACACTGAGTAAAAGTCAAGTTGGGTGATGCTATTTACAATATACCCTTTATGTTAATTTCAAAAACAGGGAAATAGTGCAAGTTCACTTTGCCTACATCAATTACTTCTATGCAAGTAACTTCCAAATTTCTATTGTCAACTAATCTCCAACATCTTTCTGGGCTCAAAACCCATTAATTCAAGAATCTGAACTTTAAGTGGAACATTACAATGCAATGTGATTCAACAATATGGATACAATTTTACTCCACCCTCATGGATAATATCATTTGGTAAGTCTATTATTACCAACAAAGGTCAGATTGATAATAATAAGTCAAATATTTACATAGTTATTTAAGGGAGAAAGTTACTAAGAAAAGCAATAGAAATAATTATATAAATAGGCACATGAAAAATATTCAAGGAGAATGCCACTATGCTAGGGGCCTTACCTGAATAGAAGGAACATCTGTAAAAGCTTTTATAAAATCATCTTCATCAACTGCTCCAGCACCTCCTTCCTTAGAAGCACCTAATTTTTAAAAATTATTTTTTAATGGCAATTATAAATATTTTAACACTAAAGATAACAAAAATATAACCTTTCAGTATCAACAAAGGCATTTTATTTCTTCAACACCAATTTAACAATTCTTTATGTTAAATTCTTTCTGTAAAAATAGCTGATGAATCCTGGCTGATTTAGGTGGTACTTAAATATCTAACTCTACATAGATATATTTCTTCATGTTAAGAACTTATCACTAAAAATGGACTTCAGCTACATAAGACCTACATCCCAAGGGTCAATGAACTTAGAAACCTCACAAGCATACCTCCAATGAAGTTTTAACATCTGCCAAGGAAAATATTCGTACTAGAAAATGATTTGAAAAACAAACATCAACATAATAAAAACTGCACAGTATTTCCAAAGGTAGGTAAAAAGCTCCTCATCTTAAAAAATAAAGAAAAATTTTTGAAGCTCTTGTATGTGAGATTTAAAAGCATAAGAGATGGACTGCAAACAGCATAACATAACATTGTAAGACAGTACAAAACTACAAATGAAAAGTTAGGACAATAAATTTAATGATTTGAAGAGGGAATGAATGAATACTTGCTACAGAAAATTCAAATAATTTTAAGGGTAAATAAATCACAGAGCTATTGGATGTTTTAAAAAAATAAAATTTAAAAAATATTATGAGGTTAAAACAAGGAAATAATTCTTAGCTAGAGTGTATGTGTGTATATATGCACACACAAACACCTCCTCCATCCTCCAAAAAGAAACAATCAAATGATAGAATAAACAGTAAAATGATGGTAGACTAAATGTAAAAGTCTCAGATTTGGTACACTAATAAACTACTCAGAAGGACTCTCATCCTGTCTCCATGATCAGTTCTCATAACTGATAAACTAAAAATAGTTAAATAAATTTTTAAAAATATTAAGATATATACTTTATCCATATTATTTTCCCTAAGTATCTTTAAACATGTATTAATTTGCAAATCTCTTGATATAGGAGTTAACAGTTTTTGAGTAGGGGTCCCCAGGTCAGAGTACAGAAGTCTAGATTTTTACAAATTCTCTTATCTCTTTCAAGTTTTGTTGCTCAGGCCACTTGAAGTAATTTTTTTAGGAACTTGTCTTTATCAAGTAGTTCCTACACATTCAACACAATTTTTATTAAAAAAATCTCCTTCCACATTCACATTTTGTTCATTTATATATAACTTACTTACAAAGTACTTTGTTAAAATAACAAGTTTGAGACCAAACAACTCCTGGAAAGCATGCATTTCAAATAGCAGAGAAGTATATAAACGTGTACCATAGCATAGTCAGTCATCTCACCACCTTTGTTCACTTAACTGTAGAAGACGATTTTAAGTTTTACCAAGAGAAGGGAAGAGTCAAGGGGCAATCGGTTTGAAGTGTTATTAGACTATGCACAGTTTATATTAGGAGCTCTGGTAGCATAGTGGCTAAAGCACTTGAATGCTAACCAGAAGGCTGGCGGTTCAA